AACACACTTAATTAACAATTCCCTGGAAAACAATTTCTAGAAAAATATTTCCCCTGTAAAACATTTCTTTCCACCAATTTTCCACCCTTACTATCAAACGGACCCTAAGTATCAAATAGTAAGTTCCAGAATATTTGGAGTTGTTTGTTACAGTGATAAACCGAAGCTTAAAATAAGTTTTTTGCTTAAAGAAGTATATTTTATCTTATTGTATTTTGAAGCCGTCCCTGTGTTTTATTAGCAAGAACAAAGAGTTTATATCAAGAGTTTCTATATTTCATTTAGAGGTAGGTTCTTAAGGAATGAAACGCCTGCTGAGGAAGAGAGAGCCCCTTCAATGGCAGCTGGTGAACTGAATCAGTTGAGACAACGGTGCACAGTTTCTGGCCTAAGGTATGTTTAGTTAGGCAAGCCACGCACGGGAACTCATCTTTACTAGAAAATATTTTGTTCCATTGACATGAGAAACACCTTCTCTTTTTTTTTTTTTTTATGTTGAGAGTAATCAAAATCATGCTTAATTTCAGATTTTTTCCTATCATGGAGATCAATAGAGAATAGAGGTCATGAACTGGAAAACAATTTGATAGTTCTATACGATTGAAATTGTGATGCCAATACTGTTTAATGATGTAAAGGCATGGCTAAGTTCTTGATAATAAATAATAGCACGTGGACTCTAGTCGGGCACAACTCTCTCCCTGAGAATCTTTCTACGATGTTCCATTTCAATTCATTCCCATAAATAATCATTAAATGGTTTCAACTGCAAGTGAGATGGGAAATTTTAAAACAGGAAATGACATCGCATGATTTATAGTTGGGCCTTGAAACGTATCGATCCATTCTTTGATATTTTGGTATTTGGTTAGTTCTGTAAGCAGATACGTTGATGTACCTGACCCTCACAAGTTTTTCAACTGACATGGGGTTGCCTAGTAAGGTACAAATATCAGTAATTCAAAACTGTTCATTAAAATTTACCTGGCATTTACTGGTCTGACAGATGGTTACCTTTGCTTTACTGGAAAATGTCCTCTTTGAGTTATAATTTGTTCTTGGGAGAAGTGTTTATAATGCTTATTTGGTGGCATTATAATCAGATGTCACACATTGGTCACGATAAGAGGAAACATTTACCGATTTTAATATGATTGTTCAATCCTTTTTATCATTCAAGGAAGGTTTCCACTCCTAATTAGAAAATATTTTTTGTGGTCAGGTGAGCAGCCATCCTGAAACCTCATCTAACAAGTACAAATGGGATGCATTCATGCAAGAAATGATCAAATTAATTTCGATCCTTCGCTGGGTCTCAGTCTACACTTCAGGAAAGTGACGTTCAACAATTATCCGATCTCGTGAGAAATGTTGTGTATGTGACTCATAAAAAGTGGAACACAGGTTTGCTAGAAGAAAAGGTCACGGGGGTATTTTCTTGTATGGACCCTAAAGTCTTGTATGGACCGGGGCTAGGGTTAGTATATATATATATATATATTGATGATATAACCTTATTATTCATATTGAATACAATTAGAGGTGTCAAAACGGACGGGCCGGCCATGACCCGTAAAAACCGGCCCGTGAA